GTTCAAGATACCAGTACAGGAGGAAATAAGCGTCCTGCTGAGGATGTCTTGGCTAATAGAGACAAACGTGCTAAGTGTAATGACAAAGTGACTGTTGATGCAGATGGGGAAGCATCAGAAGCACCAGTTGAAGGACTCCCGGATGTTGTTCAGAAAGGTAAAAATCTGCGTGTCATCAGAGTCGGTTAAGTTTTAAGTCAGTTTAAAAGGTCTTTCCAAAGAAACTGTAGGTTAATTAGGTCCATATGTTCTCACGTTGGATAAAACACTCAAAGTTTTAAGTCCACTTTCAATTTTTGCAAAGACCTGGTCACTCCACTAACTTGATACAAGCCTGTCAGCTTAAGAACCTAACTATTAAGAACACATTTAACATGATATTGCAATTCAAAATTGTGTTGCATTTATTTATTGTACCACCAGCGTTAGCGCTGGCGGTACACATGGTTTCGGTCTCGTCCGGATCGTTCCGCCGGCTCCGCCGGACGGCTACCGTTACCGCTTCTCCTCCTAGACGGTAAGGCCCCCCATACCCATCTCATGGATTTAGGTCACCTATAATCTCAACTCGTTCCACGTAAAATTTGGGCTTTGTCGGTATTGGGGTCTGGGTGTGGCACTCATTGCAATGCACCCTTGTCTAAAAATGGCAAAATTAAATGCTAATTATCTACCCTACGGAAGGAGTTATGGGAAAAATTTCTATAGACGGCTTTCCAAAAGTCATATGTGTAGATTTCAAATATACCCTTGGATTTGACCTTTGACCTTTACTTCAAGGTCAAATGGGCCAAAATTTTCAAAAAAATGAAATTTTTTACGAAAAAAAANGATGGGGAATCATCAGAAGCAGCAGTTGAAGGACTCCCGGATGTTGTTCAGAAAGGTAAAAATCTGCGTGTCATCAGAGTCGGTTAAGTTTTAAGTCAGTTTAAAAGGTCTTTCCAAAGAAACTGTAGGTTAATTAGGTTCATATGTTCTCACGTTGGATAAAACACTCAAAGTTTTAAGTCCACTTTCAATTTTTGCAAAGACCTGGTCACTCCACCAACTTGATACAAGCCTGTCAGCTTAAGAACCTAACTATTAAGAACACATTTAACATGATATTGCAATTCAAAATTGTGTTGCATTTATTTATTTATTTATTTATTTATTTATTTTTCAGGCTTTGCAAACATTCCAGAGGCCTCTGAGAGTCCCTTTGTCTTGCGTCGCACAACGCTGGCAACCACTTGTAAATCCTCGGATGCCTTTTCTGATAGTGCTCCAGACTCCATTTTACCTAGCAGACCCCACACAAGAAGTCATTCTTCGCAGAACAGCCAGTCTTCTCAGGGCAGTGATAGTGTTAAAGTGTCTCATGAAGATAGCAATCTTGCTGCTGGAAACACAGCCACTACTAGTACAACAAATACTACCAGGAGCATTCCAGTATTGTCCAAAACCAGGTCAATGCAATCACAGCAAAGCAAAAGTAAACTGAGACAGCCATCTGGCATTCCAAAGGTAATGCATATTCAAAATATAACAAAGAAAGAGAGTCTATAATATCCCAGCATGTATTTCATTATGGCTGCTTTTGTTCAGCTTTGGTAACTGTTACTGAGAAAAACAAACGAAAAATATCAAGTTTTTTGAACTGATAACAATTCAACAGTAAGGTTGCATCAACAAATAAGGTTTTTAAGGCACTCAATAGATAAAATACCTTGTCAGTTTAATACTGGAATTTAAACTTTGAATGTTTGCATTCATTTCAGATGGACTCCAAGCCCCTGGCCACCATTACGAACAGCCCCAAGAAACCAGCTCTCAGTGAGGAAGCCAGTAAGCGCAGCAGGTTAATTGGGGCCCCTCAGAGGTGCTTGAGCCTCAAAAAGTCTCCTGAGGAAAAATCTAAAAGGAGGACTAGAGCTCAGAATGCTGTCAGAAGAGGAAAGGAGACAGAAACAGCAGCAGGCAGCTCAGAGGCAGAGAACTGCAAACTTCAGTAGATGGTCTTTTTTTATTTCAGTACACGTGACTGAGACATTCATTTTACATCATTGTAAATACCATATGTTTGTACAGTTAATCAAACATTTGCCTTTGATTCTTGGAGACAACCTTCGTTTCCGTCGCAAAGATTTTAGAATAAGTGATAAGTGCTCTTTAGAATATGCACTCTTCGTATAGTGAAGTATTGTTGACATTGGTATCTCAAATTCTCATGTACCTTGTTTTTCTTGTTTTCGTTGTACCATTAGCTCTTTTTTATGTATGTGTACTAGATGTGAATTACAAAAATAGCAGCAGATTATGAATGATTGTGAAATGAAGTGAAATACAAGTATTGTATGTTCTGTTTAATTTTTGAGATGTGGTGTTTTGTGCACTTGCACCACACAGACACTGCAGTAATACAATGTAATTTCCAACCTGTTTTATTAAATTCTTTTCAAAGCAATGTTTTTTTGTTTTGTTTTTAAAGAAAATTGCATTTAATTTGAAATTTGAAGCAGAAATCTCCAGCTACTCCACTGAAATTCATAACTTGATCTGGAAATTGTTTCCATTGATTTGCAACAGGAGAGAGAAGCGTATTAAGTACTTAAATTATTTATTGAACGTTCATATTATTTTTTTCTATTGTAAACAAGGCATTAGTTAGATCTTTTTGGAAAAAAAAAAGTGAAAATTGGGTAATTTTGAATGTACTAAAAATTTATTTGCATATACCACCTTCCACCTGGAATCACAATCCCCATTTTCTTTTAATCTGCTTAAACTTGCAACAAAAATTAAGTTCATATTCTGACATAATTACCTCTCAAAAATGGTGTATGTATATTTTAGCTTCTTAAACCATGTTTACTTTGGTGTGTCGGTTCACACCATTTAAATAAATTGACTAAATGGACACTTACAGGTGGAATGTTTAATATAACAATGGCAAGTTTCTTGATTTTCACAGAACAATATATAGGAGACTTCAAAACAGCTGATGCACAAGATCTGAAGCTCAGAGTAAATTTTAATCCAAATTTTCTTTAAAAGACTTTTTCAATGCTTGGCGAGCTTGGTTTTTTAACTTCCTACTTTCATTTTTAATTTCCTGTTTTCTCTGAGTTTTCATAACAACACCATCTTCGCCATTCACATGAACATCAAGTTTAATCTGAAGCATTTCTCTTGCTTTCTTTTGGTTTTCTGCAAGAGATCTACTTTCATGGCATTTCGCTGTCAGCCCAGTCGGTGTGTGTTTTACAATTACAGCATTCATAGTTTTATTAACTGACTGACCACCAGGACCAGTACCATATCCAATCTGTTCTTCAATTTCACTCTCATCTAATGGAGGAAATGCATTCTTGGGGTACTTAACACTGGTAGATTTCCCCCTGACACTCTGAATTGTTACTGGCAATGGCTTATAGGAATTTTGTAGTCTAAATTGATTTTGATAAGCAACTGATGCTGTCTCAGTTGAAAACATTCTATTGCATAAAGTTCTCCATATGTGGGTTAATATACAATTGCCTCCAGCACACAAATACAAATTTGACAAGGAAATACCATTTCGCATGAAATACATCCTGGCAAATGTTCACTAATTCAAGTGTTACTGTCAACTGCTTTTTTATTTTTGTAATTTTCCAATGCTTTTTCCAACAAGTCTGGCTTAGCACTGTGTTTCATAAGATATTCCCCATTAAAATGAAACACTGGAATATCATACTGGTACTTCCTTTTCCATTGTTCATTTCCTGGTTCATCTATGTAAACTTCTTCAAAATTAACCTGTAAAAAGTCAAAAGAGAGTAATAATATTTGGCACTTTTTGATAAAGCATTGGAGAATACTTTAATATAATTTAACTGAAAGGTTTTATCTTTCTTGTATACATAAAAACAAAACACGCTCGGCTGTCACCTTGATTGGATAGTAAACGATTGTCGTAAAATCGCTAAATGATATTAAAACCGGGTTCATAAACTTGAAAACCACCTAGGACAACCTTAGACTGCCACATTAATCCAACACAATGCAAAAACAAACTATAACAAGTGGTTAAAGCCTTCAAACCAAATGTCGTAAAGTCCCCATATACCTCCATAGAGACAATAAAATAGAGTCAGCTTGTGAAACAAAAATAAACCAACTTAAACATAATAATCGAAATAAAATACTGCCGGGGATCGGAGCGGCCTAAAACTTGGCACGCTTACCGCAAATACTGCAGGCTACATCATCCCGTTGCTCGTTTGTAAATTCCGTGCATGGCATACGCACAATCAAACCGTATATCCAAATTGCACCTCTGATGTTTAAATTGGTCCTCTCTACAATCCAATTCAGGAAATGACATAACCGCAGAGGTCGCATTGTCCAATGGCATGGCTTCTTTTTCGTAATGGTAGGTTAGAGAGGACCAATTTAAACATTGGTTGTCCTAGGTGGTTTTCAAGTTTATGAACCCGGTTTTAATATCATTTAGCGATTTTACGACAATCATTTACTATCCAATCAAGGTGACAGCCGAGCGTGAAACAAAACTATAAAATTTGCAATTTTTTAATTGTCTATATAATAATACTCCTGCCCTTTGACAAATTGACATTTTTCATATATAACAGTGTCGTAATAATTATAAAACATACAAAAAGAGAGTATGAGCATAATTACCTGCACTACAAGTTATAAACTTCACATCCTTTGATACTCAAATTTCAGAATAATTATAAATGTAGCATTATATGTAATAATCCCCCCCACACACACACAGAGATGACTTACCAATCCCATATACTCCTCCAGTTCATCTTTTGCTACTGTACATAGCGAACATTGTTCGTTTGATTTCGTGAACAGGGTTAGGGTCGGTTTATCCTGAAGTCGAGCACAGGTAAAGAGTGCTCTGCAATGTTGGAATCGCTCGAAAAGTAACTCTTTCCTGCGTATTGGCAAATAAAGCAGACGGAAATAAGGAACAATTCTACACATTGGTTGTTTAATTGCAACTCAGAGTAAGAGAATCACTTGAATAAAGAATCACTTGTTCAAATTCCCGACTTCAACTTTGCCTTCTCGAGGAAATGAAGGCAAGAATAAGACCTATTCTAAGTCAAGGTCATCAAGATGGAGGGTGTGCGCGGAGCTCGAGAATACTCTGCACGGGAATATGATTTTATAGTGTTTGGAGCGAGCGGCTTCACGGGACAGTTTGTTGTTTCTCAACTTGCAAAGCTGAGAGATGAAGAGCCAGCGCTGAAGTGGGCTGTAGGTGGACGTAGCATGTCAAAACTTGTCAATACTCTAAAGGAAGCTGGAAGCCGGGCAGGTTTGTTGCAAGCAGCTACACTCCCTCACACACACACATTATGTGACANCCCCACACACACACACACACACACATGCAATCTACGGCTGTCATTCCAAATGAAATCGAATGAGTTGCTTTCCACTGTATTCCGTGTCTTTTACATGTAGCTGATTATAGAATGACACGTAGATCATACTGTATTCTCATTGTAGAAATACATTTACCTGTACATGTACTAGTACCTGTACTGTACATGTTCACATACTAGCACGAAACGGGCACGAAAATTCATGTTAACAGATAGCACAACAGACAGCACATATAGGAATCGTCAATAGGAGTGCTAACGCACATACTGAAGTACATGCACGTTATAGATATGATGAGTGACAAATGACTGACGAATGACAGGGAATGACCACAAATAAAGTGTTGTGGGGAATTTTTATCTCCTGCTTGTCTGACTCATGTGACAGACAAAGCAGGGAATATGCGACTCAATAATGTGACATCTTGTCAACTGGTAACATAAATTTAAATGTATACTATATGGATATAAACACTTTTTACCCCATTTCTTTATTTCTAGGTACATCCCTTGCTAGTATTGACTGCCTTCTTGCTGATTCCAAAGATCCTGACTCTCTAATAGAGCTGTGTGGGAAAGGCAGAGTAGTACTCAGTTGTGTAGGACCTGTAAGTCCATATTTTATACTGATTGTTTTGTCTAACCCTTGTGTTTGATGTCTTGCTTGCCATTGAATATTTTCCCCCTGAAATGTACAATTTCGTGTGCGTCAAGTGGCAGAATTTTTTTATCATCTTTATTCTCAAAACATTTTATACAAAGTATTGCTTGTGGCATAATTAATTCTGTTATGGTATATGTGAAAAAATGTTAAACTGCTATTTTTGTCTAAAATTATTTTTCATTAATTTAATGTAATTTGATTTATGTTTATTGTAATTTAAAATGAAAAGTATCATTTTCTGTATGAATAATATGATGGCACATGCTCCCCTAACTGTATATGTGGTAAAAAAAATTATAAAATGTATTATTCCAGTATCGTTTCTGTGGAGAGCCAGTTGTGAAAGCTTGCGTTGAAGCTGGTACAAATTATGTTGATATATGTGGAGAGCCACAGGTAAACACAGGTGTACATACATGCACATGATAAACTTGCTCATTTACACATACAAGCATACACATACTGTTCATATACACGTGCACTTAGAGATGCAAAGATGTAACAAAATTTATTGTACTTAACTTAACTCAGCATAAATTCACACTCAAAAATCTCCATTAACACACATAAGTTTAATAATAAGATATATGATATCTTTGTCAAGTTTTTGGAAGAGATGCAGTTAAGGTATGATGCCCAGGCAAAAGAGAAAGGCATATACATAGTTGGGAGTTGTGGATTTGATAGTATTCCTGCAGAAATGGGATTGCTTTTCACCAAGAACAAATTTGAAGGTATGAGATTTTGTGAGGAAAATGTGCCGGAAAATGACTTTTCTTGACTGAAATCCCTTGTTATGAATATTAAGCAAAATTGACACCATGGAGATGTGTATTTGTAACATCTATGGTTTGGATTATGAAAATCATGTATTATCAGAGACAGTGGCTTGAACCTCAAGATGTGTGATCGCTTCCATATAACAGCCTTTGTTAATTTTATAAACAGTTATTCCCTGACAAGTTTAGTGCAGGCGAAAGTTGGTCAGGGTTCTCTATACTTGTGATAGTTTTTTCACTACTTTTCACTGTTTTCACTCTGTTACAGGGGATCTGAATTCTGTTGAAAGCTTCATCCAGATTAAGTTTGCAGTACCAGAGGTTTGTGCATTTTTTTATTTGCAGAGTTATTTTAATTATGCTCAAATTTTGTCTGTTAAAGATCCAAACATTTATCTTTTGACATAGTAAGAATTTCTCTTGCTTGGAATTTCAAGGTTGGAACAGTCAACAGTCCAGCGACAGTCCACTTCCACTTGGGTGGCTTAGAATTATTGCTATCAATTTAAATCAAAATGTCATGCATTTTTTTTTTAGGTCAAAGGAGCTAAGATCAATTTTGCAACTTGGCAGTCAGCTGTTCATGGTTTTGCTCATGAAGGGGAGCTGAAACCACTGAGAAAGTTGCTTTGTCCTGAACCCCTTCCAAAACCAATCCACAGGGTAAAAAACAGGTACACTGTAGATGTTTTTTGTTTTGAGGAGAGTGTTTGTTTGTTGAATAAGCTACAATTGCTGCATGTTTATATTTTAAATATTAATAGCTAGATCTCTCTGGCAGATCACCTGGGATTTGTGCCAAAAACTGTTGCGGGATCTTTGATTTGTTCCTGCTACTCTCAAGCATCCAGGCTATGGTTTTGAGTCACATCATGCAAAAATGCTGTGTTTCAAAATATATGGCAGCCATTTTAACACAGGACATTGTATGGATTTCAGGGCAAGGTGTTTGCTGCTTATATTTCCATTGAGTGTGGAAATGCTGTTTTTTTTTCCAGAGGAGTTTTATTCTACAGTAAAGAAGTGGGGTCCTGGTGCATACCATTCCTGGGCAGTGATAGATCCATAGTGTACAGGAGCCAGGTGATTAGCTACAGAGACAGAAAAGAAAGACCAGTAAGTGAACATATTTAATGAAGAGAGGAAAAAAACAGTTTATTTATGGTCCACAATTGCACAATTTGTGAATGTGATGAACTTTTTTTTTTTGAATAATTACAATAAACTTCATTATAGATGATTAAGATAGTTGCATATAGAAGTGATATTTTCTTATGTATTATGTAACAAACGTGTACTCCTGTAAGTAATGTGATGGTATTTTTACATCTCTCCCCATCACCACTACCTATTTGCTAATTATTTACTTATTTTTTCTATTTGTTGTATTCTGTTTATGTATTATACTGTACTTATATCTGTAAGAATACGTACTCAGGATTGACTCCCATTTATTCATAATGAATGAACAGCACCATTTTTTCTTTTTGTTATGATCAATATCAGCAGGCTATAAATGTGCAAGCATTGTTTAGAAATTTATTACATACGTATTACCTATGAATATTTCAGATTCAATTCCTACCATACACAAAACTGCCATCTTTGATGAGTGCACTGGCTGTGCTGTCTTTTGGAATTGTCTTTGGTATTCTGGCCAAATTCAAATGTGGACGTTGGCTTTTAGAAAAGGTACCTGTAAAAGTAACTTGTTTTTGAGTTAGATCAACATTAAGTGAATTTGAGCAATTGTGTCAAAGGCGAGCACTTTGTGGCACAACCATTTTTCTATTATTTATGTATTTTTTGACATGTTAAAGATGAGCATAAAAGATTTACCGCTTTATTAGATTTCATATTAACCCTAACCTTAAAGTATTTTTCATATAACTATTTATCAAGATTGATATTCAGAATAAAGGCTCCCTGAAATTTGAATAATGGCTTTGATTTTGTTTAATTAGTTCCCAGGAATCTTCTCTGGTGGACTGGTATCTAAACAGGGGCCACCTTTGGCACAGGTGAGGTGAATATAACAATCAAGACCATTGTATAATGGAAACTATTTTAAAATTAATATTACAGCAAACCAAGACAATCTTTGTAAACTATTTACCCTTACTTGTTATAGTTTTTGAACATTTGATGATGGTGATATACTTAAATGTTCTTTTTATTTTGATTTTGAAATAGAATGCATGAACTTTAATGCAGTGAATTCTCTTTCACAAGTTCTGAATTAAATTTGAGCCCACATTATTAAAAATGTTTATTGATCGTGACTGATCTGAATTCATTTTCATAGATCCAAGGCTCTTCCTTTACAATGACATTCTTTGGGAAAGGCTACAGTCAGATCCTTCCTGATGCAGATCAACAACACAATGAAGCTCCAGACAAGACCATTGTCACAAGTGTTACAGGACCAGGCAAGTTTGCCCAGCTTTACCTGTGGAGATTTTGAAATGATTTTGATGCTATTGGAAATAAAATGTACTTTCGTTGCTTGGAGAGAGAGTGTCAGTAAAGAAATAAGATGAACAAAGGTGAACGTGCTTATAACAAATGATAATACAGTAATCCTTTATAGGAATGTAAAAGCGCTCATTCCATTCAGGTTGAATCTTGCTTACATGATCCGAGAAGTGATATTTTATAGCTTGCCTAGTATACTGGTATTGTGCAATTACAGAATATTTTGTAGGTACCAGATTTATCGTAATTAGTGGCAGAGGGAGGCTGTTATCTGGATCAAAATTATTTAAGTTTACACTGATAGGCATCTTATTTTTCCTGTTGGAAGGCGGTCAAAAATGGAGGATGGATCATCAAAGACAGTTTGGAAGACTGTCAGAAAATATCTCTGGATTTGCCCCTGATAATGTATGACTTCTTTTACAGAAGCAGGCTATGTGACCACACCCATATGTATGGTAGATGCTGCCTTGGTGATCCTGAGAGAGCAAAATATGTTGCCTGCTGGGTAAGCACATATACAGCAGTATTGTTCTGTTTGAATAAATAAATAGATATTTCTTTATTAAACCATGTTATCAAATAGTGTGGAAATAAGTGCAACTTTTGTAAGGTTTATAAAGTTGTTGATGATTCCCTTATATTTTTAGATCGCTTCTAATTAATGGAATATGAATGCTGTGCTACATAGTTGGAGTGAATGAAAATTGCTTTTTTTATACTTCATGGTGATAAAAAATGTCATTCAGTACTAATTAACAGTTTTTATCTCACTTTCATATAATCACCGAGGTATTCTTTCCCAAAAACTTGAAGCTTAGATGGATGCTTGTTTATATTTTCAGGGGTGGAGTGATTCCTCCAGGAGCAGCTTTTGCAAAGACCAGCTTGATTGAGAAGTTACAGAAGCATGGCATGAAATTTGAAGTGCAACCAAGCACTTAAGTTTTCAAATATTTCCATGACCAAATTTAGATATTTAGAGGCATGTGATGTTTTTTTTTTTAGTATATTGCTACCATGTAATTTATTAATGTGCTTAACATTCCCTCTAAGGACTTGTTTGAAGTACTCACATATAAAAAGTACACAATTTGATGTATGGTTTACATCATACAATTAGAGACTAGTGCTTAATGGCATAAGATGTAGTTAGTGTGTTTCAGGGTTTTAACATTTTAAAATGATCAATAGTTTCAAGCACATTGATGAGCAGTGTATAATGACACACGGTAATGGTCCACGTGTTCAGCTATGTCTTGTTTAATGACTTTTTTGTTTTGTTTTTGTTGTGTTACTGACAGTGTGCCATATTATAAAGGATACATGTATCAGCTTTACTGTGAGCTTGATGCACTGATAAAGAGACTCAAAAACTTATGTGTTGTGACTTGATAAATGAGATTAAGTCTCTTGAATCATACTGTGCTATTTATGAATTGAATTGGGCTAATTGTACCAAAGAGATAAAGGCTATTTGCATTGTTTGCTTCATCCCAAAATGAATCTTTTTTGTACTTTATACTGTGTATTAAAGGTGATGTTTGATAAATGATGATAATATGTAATAGCTATGATGCATTTCCATTGAATGAATGATTTTAATATACATTTGCCTTGCCAAGTAAGGCGTAATTAAATTATACAAAGATGCGCCTGTATTGTATCTTTTAGGCAATTAATTTTTTGACAAGGTTTATCCAAAGAAAAGGAGAGGTATTGCTTCTAGCATTATGTGCTCTCCTTAATGTCTCATGTATTATTGAAAAGAGAGAGAGACCTTTTATATCATTTATTTGAAAATGAAAGGATGCATTTTATTTTGAAAAGAAAGGCAGGTACAAAGAAATAAGAAATAGAAATGATAATTTAACATGTATTTACCTAAACCCCTGCTGTTATTTTGTTTTGTTTTGTTTTTTGCTGCATTCTGTGACATTTTGTTTGCCAAAGACCTAAGGTTGAAGTCTGTGACACAATTTAACCATGTTCCAGCTTGCTAAGTAAATGTATATTTGAAATAAATGAAATTGAAGATATATAATGGAGAAGCTTTTTTTTATATAGCACCATTTCCAGTACACAGTTCCCTAGTGATATAATGTAAATACTATCATCATAAGCTATGTTAAAATGTATAACAGGAAATGGCAACATTTCAACTAAGGACAATTATGATATTTAAATAATTTTTTTTTCAAATTATTTTTCAGTGTTATGGTTAATAATGTGATATTTGGGTTACTACTGGTATGCTGGTAAAGGTAACTGCTGCTGTGAAATGAACCCCAGTCCTTATTTCATTAATGTGGAATATGTGTCGTTCTGAGCAAACTGCAGTTATGATGATCATAATTTTGAGGAATTCAGAGAAAATAAATAAAATCAAATAAAAAAAAAAAAAAAAAACATTAAGAGTGGGTTTATTTATCATTGACTCCAGGAAACCCTTATACAGTACTATTGTTGTTTTATGCTCAATAATGGCCTACAATATGGATTTGATTTTACTCCTCCCTCAACCCCCCCCCCCCCCGAAAAAAAACACCTAGCCTTAAAATTTAGTTTCTATGGTCATTTAACATCTTGTTGAAAAAAAAAACGAAAATAAATTTCTTTTACAGAGATTTTACCGAGTTGTCGCTTGGGTGCTGTAGCTGTTATATTTATCAGACTTGGACTTACGTAGAATGTATAATGTATTCATGTATAATTGAGAGTAATTTGTCGCAAAGAAGCCCGAGTAATTGTGACCAGATACCATCTGTGGGTCCTTCACATTTTCATATAAACGTACACAAAATAATTTTCTTGACCACGTGTGCGTATGTTTACCTCCTCTTCCGGGTTCAAAGGTCACTAGGTCAAAAGTCGCACATGCGTATAATAAAAAATTTGCAATGGCGGATTCGGGTCTTCAGAAGATGACCCCACTGCCGGGGCATAAACCTGTCCCACAGAATCTATACGCTACGTGGGAAATAGATAAATCGTCGCCGAATTGTATACCAAGGTAAGGGGAGTCTTATCCTTTACTCATGTGCGTAGATTTTGATTAGATCACATGTTATTCATACTCAACGTGCATAATATTCAAACTTGGGTTGTTTACAATGCAATGACAGCCCGGCCTTGGAATAGTATCGTTAGTCATTACAGCCACCAGTCATTATATAACTTATGACTACTTTAACTTCTTTTTAACCCCCAAAAAATTCTGAAAACTGTGTTGTCATATGTAAAGCGTGCATGCGTTTTATATGAATGAAATGTGTTCACCAGTTCATTACAAACACTGCAATCGGAAAGGAAACAGCTTTGGGCATTCGTTTATGTATATAAATGCACGCAATGATCATTGTCATTGTTAATAAAGTCACAACAGCTGCTGCAAAATCAAACTGCTGTCCTTAAATGTATTCAGCATTAGTGAATTTTACACAGATAATCCCTCACTGACTTATACTTGTCAGTCTTAGTCTGTAGTCTTAATCTAAGTATGATAGTCTAGACAGAAAATAGTTGAATTAGTGCCTCAAATACATGTAAATCTGGATAAACTTAGACTGCTAAGACTTTGTGCTGTTTTCTGTAATGTAACTCATGTTAGGGGATTTTATTGTAATTGAAATACCAATGAAATGGGTAATTTTGAAATTGAAATGGGGATTTTTGAGCATGTTATCTCCAGGGTTGTATCTTTATGTAATTTAGCAGGTCATGCATAATTTAGAGATAAGGTCATACTAAACTAAAGCAATGTGACTTACTTAAGATTAGGAAAAATTACACTTATGTGTTTGAGTGTTGAAAACATTGTATTATTTATCATATTCATTTAGACTTCATTTAGACTTTTGTTCTATATACTAGTAATTAAAAAATATGGATATGGGGAGGGGGGCATGTGCCATTGTGATTGATGATTACTTAAGTGTCATATAGATAATGCATGTTGAATAATTACAGTTCTTTCGAAATGCGCTTTTGTATCTGTTGTAGTCTAATTAATACAGAGTGATAATTAAAACTAATTAGGGTAGAAATTCTTTTCTTTTGGGTGGATTTCTATGTGTGAATTATATTTCTACCTTTTTATATCTAAAAGATAATTTCCTGATCTTTGTATCAAATGTTTAAAAAAAGGAATTCCAGGGATTGGGGGGATTACCTTACCATCCTCTGTTCTCATTCCCATTCGCAGACAATTAGCCACTATGATATACAGTTTTTATCTGTGTGTTTTGCTTGAATACATTTATGTGTAGTGTTTTTTGATAAAGTCTAAGTGTTCTGTAGTTAGAGTTGGTAGCTTCAGTTAATTATATCATGCTACTTATTCAATGTATACTGATGCTCAATCTACCCAAAAAGTCAAATTGGACTAGTCTTCACCATTTTCTGTGGAGACCAGAAAAATTTTTTTTGTGAGAAGTGTTTATTTTAAGACTTTGGATAGTGCCATATAGGTGAGTCATGTACTTTATTCTATGTTTCATAATAGCACTCTATTGTCAATAGAAAATATGACTCAGAAAAATTAGTATGTCAGTCAGAATGAGGAGGGTGTCCATCCTTAGTGATTTGATAATGCATTGGATAAAACTCATGGGAATCTAACATGTTCTTTGATTTTCTGCCAGTTCATACGTGATGGGATAATGTTATTCATGCATGCCTGTTAAACTCATTAAAGAATCTATTTTAGGTACTCTCAGCATGATATTGCAAACAGATTCTGCCCTTAGGTTCTTCTAGATTTTTGTAAAGCTATTTCTTTAATGCAAATAACTGCTGCCTGAACTTATTGCTTGTATAACCCCCTTGTCATCTTATTTGTCCTTTTGTGGTTTTAAAGTTTTTTTTTGTATTTTTCCTTCTGTTCTGCTATATTTTAAGTTAATACTCAAAATTATCACTCACTGTGATAAAAGTATGTATGACTCTCCTTGTCTAAAGCAGAAAATATTAAATCTCTGTTCAGCTCTGACCTCAGTCGTAAATCGATATTAGTGGACATGATATGGACAGGCACATCCTTCACTGTATTTTTTGTATGTTTCTTTTTCTGACAATTGAGACAGCATCTCTGAGATACTTGATATTAACCAAGCATATTGTTTGAAGAATTTGTTGTTGTTGTTGTTGTTATTATTATTATTATTATTATTATTATTATTATTATTATTGAGTTAACCATTGCAATCAACATTTACTGTAGCAAACTTGGAACAAGCTCTTCATCTTGATAATTTTTAACCCCCCCCCCACACACACACTCATGTACACACATGCACACATACACAAACGTACACACACACATACACACTATGATCTTCAAAAGGGCAGACAAGTGCAGACTGATTATACAATACAAGCATATTTGCTACCTTTTATTTACAGTGCTAGAAATAAACCACTGGCCCATTGGCTCCTTGACAGGTGATTTAATGGAAATCAACTGAGATAGTTGTGTGACTCTCAGCAAGATTTTTGGAGATTTGGAAGAGAGTGGGGTGGGGGGTCATTTATAATGGTAGACTAGTGAGTATGGTGCAGCAACATATAAAAGCTTATAGAATTCATCTATGGATGCCAGGCACACAAGAGTTTCATCTCTGTCAAGGAAAAGTAAGGCCACCTCAAGTAGATTCTTGCAAATCTTAAAGTCTCGTGTGAAGTGGCATAGATATCCCCACTGGACCTGAAAATCCCCACAAAATCTGGTTCCTCTTTTTTTTTTTTTTTTTTTTTTGAATTAGGTATCATTTGTGAAAGAGGATCAGCAAACCTAATTTACCTTGCTAGCTTTCATTGTATGGCCACTGAGTTGCATGTGTCAAAAATTTATGTAAATGTTCAACTGCATTTTGATTTCTGCAGTTAACTGTAGGCAAAATGTTAGATTCCTTTTGATGTGTTATAAACTTCCATTCCTGTTTAGAGAAGTACTTTTTAGGTTTTATTTTATTACCTGTCAGTGAAAGTGAGATGCACATTCAGTTACTGAAACTGAAGCGGTGATGCAAATATCTCTGCAGAACTGGTGTTCATAAGTAAGGCACAGGTTTTCATGAAGATTGATATATTTCTTTCTAATCTTCAATATATCTTGCTAATCTTACCAAGGTCCTACCAGCTCAGCTGGGGATTACCTGCAGGTATTACTACCTACCTCTGCCAAGGAGATAATGTTTTCACCTCTGTCTGTCTGTTTGTCTCTGCGTTTGTCACCATCCTTTCTCAGAAAGTTATGAATGGGCGTCATGACACGTAGGCCATGTCATTTTTTATTTTCTTGGATATTGATTCTCAGATTTTTGACAAGATTATTTTTGACAAAGAGATATATTAATCCTCGTTTCTCAGTATTTGTATGCGTAATTGTTTGGGATTTGACATTTGATAGTATGGACCTGTCTGTAATATTAAATGTTCCATTAGAGGTATTGGTCGTGAATATAATCATAAAAGAAAATGGATATTTGAAGATAAATGAGAGAGATATTAGCTATGTCAATTATCTTCACAATGCATGCTATAGATCTGGTGGCAATGCTAGCCATACAAATTATTGTGAAAAAAAGAGCAGTTATGAAAGCTATTACTTGTAATCTTTTGCTGTCTACATCTAATTGTGGCATAACGAGAATGTTTTTTTAGACAATTGACTCAATACCTCTCTGCAATTGACTTAAACTCTCCTTCTCACATAGACAGTGATACACGCTTGCGTGCATTGACTTAACTGCCTATCAGCATTGATTTTCGAAGAATTGTTTTGTTTTAGGCTATTTTTAGGTAGTACTCTTTTGTATTTTTCAATATTTTTTTTGAGAGATGAGAAAAAAATGTTCATCAATGAGAGGCAGAAATTTGCTTTTTAAAAATACAAGATTTTTTTATGTAATTCCTTTCTTCAAGAAATTTCTCATGGATAATTTACTTTCAGAAGGTAGCAGTCATACATTTTATCTGAAGTCAAGTTGTTTGCAGCAAAATTGATTTCCTCTCAGATGCTATCAGCATTGGAAGAAAATTAAGAAATGAAAATGGCTGCTAAGAGGAACATGATGCGTTTCATTGCCAAGTGCTTGTTCAGATGAGATGCATTTCTCTCTTTCATGATTTGGTAAAGTTCACGCAAATGTGTTTATGAAGAAATAGCTTACTATTAGTAGTATACAAACAGCCATTGCCCTTGTATGCCTTAACTTTATATCTTGTTATTAGTTCCTTTATGAGGAACATATCCTAAGATGTCTTCAGAAGTAATGAAAACAACTAATGTACCAGGGAAAAATGGTTCTCAGAAGTTTTTGTGAAATGAAAAATATGTCAGCAGGATTGCCAGCATCGGGGTAATATTGAACCCCAACTGGAAAAAATAATGGTAATATTGGTAATGGTAAAATTGTGAGTCACTATATTAGAAAACAAGGTCCATTTTTCATTTACCAGAGACCCCCCCCCCAAAAAAAAAAAAAAAAAAAAAATGTGCTAAAGAAAGAACTGATTGGGTTTCAGAAGAAAATTCTACTTTTTGCCCCATGTTACGCCTTAAGTGTGATTGGCAGATCACTTATCAGATGATAAAACAACTGAAAAAGATAAATCAGTATAATTGCCTTTTTGCATCAAAAGGATTTTTTCTTGCGTATCTTGGTAATTTGCCATGCAACGTGCACACAGAATATTAGCATAACAAAAGTTTGCCATTAGGTCTTGAATTTTTCATAATTAAGAGACATAACAACTAAGCATTATTCATACAACATACATGCATAAACTGTGCATTATAAATTTGCATGTGTATATTAATCCCCATAGGCCAGCTTAAAAGGAATTTTGTGTTCTTATTATCAGAAGATGGCAATTTTATCTATTATCTCAATACATTTAGAGCTAAGAAACACAATAAATACATTATTTGGAATCTTTGTGTAGGGGTAATACAATGCCACACTCCAAGCTACCAAGTCTAGTCCCTCACTTAGGTGAAAAAGTCAAGTG